TGATGGTAGTATTTAACAAGCCGTGTTTTCAACATATAATCTGCTGTCCAGTTACTTGCTTAATGCTCTTCAGTTGGAGGGTGCTGTTAACGTGTGATTTTTTTCATTGAATTCTGCCTGGTACTCATGAAAATTTGAAGCTCTACGTAAAACACTCTACCCCCCCATTTATTTGGTGATAATATAGAATAACTTTGTGCTTCCCAGGAATCTTATTTTAGATCTACATCTAAAATAATATAGATAGTACTTATCTGTACTTATAAACAATAATGTTTGATGTTAATCTAAAATAGTAATAATATGTCTTAATTAAGGTATTCAGTTTCTATATGTAACCTAGATCAACCTATATACATTTAATTAAAGGTATTTGTAATGGCCACAAGCTGAGGTAAATGTAACAGATATCATGGTTCAGTAATAACAATTAAAAATCCAAACTAAAAGTATAACTTCTAGTTAACTCATAATAATTCCTTATTTTTTTTTCTTGCCAAAATGAGAATGGAGAGTTAACATTGTTTTGTGGATTACATGTCAATTCACTATTTTCTTCAAAACTGCAAGTTTTATTTTTAACATGTTCATAACATTTAGATGTGAGTAAATCTAGCAACACAAAACTTTGGAATAAAAACTCAAAATGTTTTCTTGTGAAAGTTTCAAACTTTCCTGAACTATTTTCTAGTTTTAAATCATTGTTTTAAATCAACTAAGAACCTATAAATTCACTGGAAATCCAGCCAGTTTTTCACTGTCCAGGAACTCTCACTTTTTATGCAGTTTGGGTTGATGATTTTTATTTTTCTTCACTTCTGCATTCTGTGAGATTTTTTTTTTAAGGGGGCAGACTTCTTTCTTCTCCCTTATGCTTTAATTGTTTTGAATGATTTTTTTATAATTCTTTATAGACTTTTTCCAAAGTGCAGATTAGAAGTAAAGGCCTGTATCTACAAGGAAGTAACTTGTAGATATCAAACTTTGTCAATGCAGGTACTGAATCATGAAAACAGGTGAGCGGGAGTTCTAGTCACAAGACCCACCATGTCTTGAGGGAGGGTGAATAATTGAAGTAATTGGAAATGCAAGAGGTAGGATCCTTCTCTCCCCTTCCTCCCGATCCCAAGTCTTAGTTCTTGCTGGCCAAGTTGAGGTGGGCACCTCTCTTAGAGGGGAGTCAGGTCTGACTCCAGAATGCTGCTTTGGCTCATGCAGTCACATACTCTTCTCATAAAGAAACCGGGAAATACGCTAGCCCAGACCCTTACATTTGGGCTGCCCAAAGGGCCGTATCTGCAAAGTAAAAGGAAAAGCATCCATAGGAAAGTAAGGTTGATTCTGTTGAATGGAGACAGTGTTTACCATGATGTTCGCTAACAGGAATGGCTGCTGAAATCAATGCTTTAAGACAGTTGCGTGGAAAGGAGGACTACTCTTTTCCATTCCTGGCTGCATCACTATGTTTCAAAAGCACTTTGGGTTGAAATGCTGTCCCAGACTGAAATTTCGTCTTTCCAAGATGCCTCTGTCTTATTCTATCATATGCAAAAGACTTTTATGAATTGCTTTAGTAATGCCCAGCAATGTTCTACCAAGTCATTGGTAGAAACATACGTTGACCACACTGCTGCCTGAAAAGGGAGAGCTGTTACTTAATAAGGCAAGTTTGCTCAGGCCATAATTTGCATTCTGTCTTCTAATGAAAGCTGACTCATGCCAAAATTTTTGCTTTTATCCCTAAGACCCAGCATCACTCTGAAAACAAGCACCAGTAAATGCTTATTCAAGCTTTTAGTAATCAGTCACCTAGCTATTAATAAATTCCTTCATTTTTACATTGGTCAGGAGGCACTTAACCAAATCCAACAGAGTTTTGTCTATTCTTTCATTAAACTAAAACCCTAGATCAATAGTACAATATGAATGGAATAATTGCCTCTCATCCAAATTCCATGCTGTACCCTTGATGTGATATTGATACGGGCTACCTGATCTCTTTGTGGAATAGAAGATGTTGTAAGAAATGCAGCTTAGTCATGCCATTTCTGTGGTATTCTCAGGACATAGGCTGTATAATTGACTACAGACATCTTAGCTTAAAAGCCATCTTAGAGTTTCATCCAGTCCTAGTAATATGTGTGCAGTCCCATGGGCTGCATCCAAGGATTATGCTAATTTTATTAGCAACTCCTCTTGCTTTAATTAAACTGTATGAATTCCCACCTGGTCACTATTGTGCCAGCACCCCTCTTTCAATTTTTATTTGAATTTATAGATAATCTGTGGGTTTGCACTTCAGTTCTGATTTCCTGAATTATCCATTGTGTTTTCCACATGAAATAACACAATTTTGAGGGGTAAATAGGGTTTCAAACTGAGTTAACAGGTTTGAGCGAACCTCTGGATCAAAGCAAAGACCTAAGTTTCTGAAGTTGGCCAAGTCTTTGCAGGAGAAGGTATTCAAAGTAACTTGCTGTCTGAAAGCACCAAGTTATATACTGCTGTTCAAAATACCTGCAAGCAAGCTCTGTATTAACATTTACTTTACTGTGTTTATACCATGAAGCAGAGCAATGTGAATTCCTTAGTGGACTGTTAATTTACATGTTATACACTTTCAAATATTTCCAAAAGCAAATGTGAAATGATTAGTAATCTGTTCACATGCTCACAAAATGTTATTAGCAAAATGCCTTGGGCAGTATGTTATGTTGACTAAAATTGATAAGTTTGTATTTTAAAACTAAAGCAACTCCCCCTGCCCCCAACAAATCTTAGGACCTGCCCAGAGCCCAGACCTCCTGGTCACACCAGTTCTCAAGGTGTATGTTGAGCTGAGGCGGGGGAAAAGACCAAACCCCC